TGCATTCAACTTTTCATTTAAATTATTCAATTTTCGAATTAAATAATCATATACATATAGAGTTCAAATAGAGGAATGTTATATTCTAAGGCATTAGGGAATCTTAATTTAAGAGGCGTAATGTTTTTTTATTTTGATGAATTTACATTGCATTAGCGATTCTTATATCTTAAAATTTACTGTTATAACGATAAAGGAGATAAATTTTTTGTATTTAACTTATGTTGATACAATTTTAAGTACAATTCAATTTAATATACTAGTAAAATACTTCTGAAATAGTAGAAATTTACTCCGTAAATATTAAATTTATATTTCTCGAGTAAAAATTGCCAAAAATGCGCAGAAACTGCGGACAGTTTAAATTTTATTTTCCAAGTATAGTAAAAGTTACTTTATTACAATACCGAAAAAATGTTATTCTGCTCTCTAAATCTGAATTAGTAAAAATGTTTACTAATTTGAATTAGTGACTCACTTTTTGCTTCTGAATTAGTAAAATTTTACTAATTGTTAGTAAAAGTTACTAATGATTAGTACAATTTTACTAATTGAGAAGCAAAAAGTGAGTCACTAATTCAAATTAATAAACATTTTTACTAATTCAGATTTAGAGAGTGAATAAAATATACCTTTTTAGTATTTAAGAATATTTCCCATGTATTTTATTCTTATAGAGGTAGAATATTAAATACCGAATTTTTTAATTTAAAAAACAGTCTAAGAATCTTTTCTTATTTTAAGAGTAATTCGAACTCTACAGGGAGAAAAAAGGAATAAAGTAACTTTTACTATACTTGGAAAGTAAAATCTATGTCCGCAGTTTCTGCGCATTTTTGGCAATTTTTACTCCAGAAATATAAATTTACTATATATTTACGGAGTAAATTTCTACTATTTCAGAAGTATTTTACTATTTTCACAGTAAATTTTACTATTTCCGGAGTCAAAATTGCCAGAAATGCTCAGAAACTGCGTACATAGATTTTACTTTCCAAGTATAGTAAAAGTTACTTTATTCATTTTTCCACATTTCTCCATAAGAATAAAATGGATTGAATTCTCAAATACCAAAAAGATATTCTTAAATTTAGTATATGACGTTTTTTTAACCGAGAGTTTCAAATTAAAAATTCTGATGCATAAAACAAAAATCACAAATTTTTCAAATACAAAAAATTCCCTTTGGGTTTATAGACAATTTGCAAAGTTTTAAGAGACGATTTAAGAAGAAGAGATGCTTGGGGCTAAAAGAAACCTCGATTCTCGCCCACGCAAAAGACGTTACACACACATATACACAAACTACGAATGCCAAAGCGATTCCTTCCACCTGCGTATAGAAATGCTTCGGCCCTGTGTCCCGCGTGTGCACTTTTGCGTCTCGTAAACCGGCCCCAAGATTTCTTTCGCGACCAAGGAGCGGTCCATAGAAGCGCGTGCATACCTATATGGGCAGCGTGGAAATCGTGGTTTCATTCATGCGACTGCCTTCGAAGAGAGTATATATATATATATATGTGTGTGTGTGTGTGTAGGTCGATGCGTGGCACGTTTGAATTTCTCAAGAAAGAATCAGTGAGTTGTGTGTGCCCCCACACGCATACACCTACTCGTGCACGTAATTCCACACCATCAAACACAATTTATACACTTATAGAAAGAGAGAGAGAGAGAGAAAGACTTGTCAGACACCCATATATACTTATTAGAGTTACAAACCGAAACGAGTGGAAACTTTCTCGCAACTTTCTATATCTCTTGACGTTTCATTCACTATATATATATAAACACTTTGACAATGTCAAATCTGTCTAGAAATGAAAATTCGATTCTAAAATATAACACCCTTGATGTGGGTTTATAATGGAGTATATTGTCAGAAAGAAATTTTCAAGGTTTAGATGAAATCGCACCTAATTTTATTTTTATTAATGATTGCTATATATTTAAATGAAAATTTGAATGCTAATTTTTCATTAGGTATATATATTTATTGAAAGAGTTTATTATCGATATTTTAATTCGCTTTCTCAATAATGAGTATTTCTACACTTGATTTGTAAATATTTTAGATACACTGCAGTTGGCGTGAAAGGTCGATTATGATACTCTGTTGTAAACCGATTGTAAATCTGAGGTGATAAGTAACAGCCGCAGACTCTATACTTTCTAGTTTAGAGGTATATGAACTGAACCTACTGGTCTTACATCAATTACACTCAAGAGATGTTGTTACTTTATTAATTTATCAATTAATTCTATTCTATTGAAGAGGCAACAATGTTATTATAGTTACATTTATCCGATACGATAGTGAAACAGAATTTACACTGCAAAAAGAAGTATCTTATTTTATGATGTTTTGGTAGCGTTTTTAAGACATTAAGATATTTAAAATGTCTTGATATCTTAAAAACGTTACCAAAACATCTTTAAATAAGATACTTCTTTTTGCAGTGTACGAATTGTAACAATGTTTCTTATTTTGTTTCAAAATCAACAAGAATTTAGTCTTCTATATTTAAATAACGGAAACCTATTTCTTTCTATTTCAGAGCTTTATATACACGGAGAAAAATGGAAAAACGAATAAAGTTACTTTTACTATTCTAAAAAAAGTAAAACTGGAAGTATCCGCAGTTTTGGCGCGGATCAATTTTTATACTCCAGAAATATAGTAAAATTTACTATTTCAAAAAAAAATTTTACTATTTCAGAAGTAAATTCTACTATTTCTGGAGTGAAAATTGACACAGAAATGCGGAAAGTTCAGGTTTTACAAGTAAAAGTTACTTTATTCGTTTTTCCATTTTTCTCCGTGTATTCATGAAACTTGAAAAAAAAATGTCTAACCTTGTTATATGCCATATTTTTGGGTAAAAAATTAGTAGTAATTTACACACAAAAAACAAATACTCACAGAAAATTAAAAGGCATTAACATAAGCTGCAACGCTTATTATTTTAATCCAATTTTGCTTATTTTAATCCATTTTGGTATTAAAATAAGCAAAATTGGATTAAAATAATAAGCGTTGCAGCTTATTTTAATGCCTTTTAATTTTCTGTGCTGAAACCGTTAACATCTTAAAATAAAAATGCCTGAAAACTAGCGTAATTTTAATCTTAAAACTGGATTAAGTCAATTTTATGATTTAAAATCATACACTCAAATTTGAAATTCAGTAAAAATGGTTCTAATGTTAACGGTTTTAGTCAAAAGTGAACTATTAAGTAAGTATTATTTTTTAGTGTGTATAAGTTCTATGTAATTTTGATTTATCAGTTAGTGGTTATCTAACTAATCGTATAATTAAATATTGTGTATTTAAGTGTTTCTATTTCTGAGAAACAGATCATTTTCAAAAATAATATTAACAAATAAAAAAAGATTATTCAATGAGAAATTTAAGAAATGCCTTCAAAAAATGAAAAAAATCATTGAAACAAGAGAATTAAAGCCGAAAAATACGAGAGAACTATTTGGATACTATAGAAGTTTGCGAATGTTTTGCTGCTTTACTCATTAATATCAGGGATAAATTTACTTAATTCTCGATTTTATTTTATTCATTCAGCTAACATTCTTTAGCGTCTCTATCATCAATAGAATGGCAATATTGGAACAGAAAAACTAAAACTATATTTTCTAAATATAAAAGTCAATTATTTCATATCTTTTGGCAATATAACTAACAAAATAACTGTGTCAGCCAATAAAATAAATGAAAAGTAGTACAAAATAGTCCTCCCACATTCATCGCACATCTAAAATACGATTGTTTCATTCATATTATTTTTCTGTGATGAAATTTTCTACATCCAAAATACAATATTTAGTTTCACCAACTCGTATGAATTAATAGTAATTAAAGCAAATTTAACTACTCGCTCATTGGTCGGTTTAAAAATTTAATCAACTCTTAATGTTGAAATCGGTTCTAATAAGATACATTCAGAATTGTTAAAATTAATTTGAATCAACTGCTAATATAAGTATACCAAATCAGTGAAAATTTCACTGATACTTATATTGGCAGTTGATTCAAATTAAGAAAGTATTATTAAAAATTTACACTCTAAATCTGAATCAGTGAAAATTCAAATCAATGGCTCAGTTTTCTTTAATTCCACTGTTTGAATTAAAAAAAATTGAACCACCGATTTGAAGTCAGTGAAATTCAGATTTAGAGTGATAAGTACACAGAAAATTAAAAGGCATTAAAATAAGCTGCAACGCTTCTTATTTTAATCCAATTTTTCTTATTTTAATCCATTTTGGTATTAAAATAAGCAAAATTGGATTAAAATAAGAAGCGTTGCAGCTTATTTTAATGCCTTTTAATTTTCTGTGTATCTAAAAAGTACACGGAAAAAAAGAAAAAGTAATTTTTACTACTTTCATAGTAAAATGGAATCTGTCCGAAGTTTCTGCGCATCTATGGCAACTTTTACTCCAAAAATAGTACAAATTTGCTCCAGAAATAGTAAAATTTACTCCAGAAATAATAAAAATTATTACAAAAATAGTAAATTTTACTATTTTTTGAGTAAAAGTTGCCAGAGATGCGCAGAAACTTCGGACAGGTCCAATTTTACTATGAAAGTAGTAAAAATTACTTTTTCTTTTTTTCCATGTATAAGAAAAATTGGTTTTTCACATTATTAGATTGTAAAGATTTTAGTCCTCTATAACCATATATAGACAAAGTAAATGATGCCATCTTACATTCCTTTCAAGTTCATGTTTGCTGCATATATATGATATCAAGATAATTGTGATTCTCAAAGTGCCTGCGCGTGCTTGCAATTAGTAATATCTTCAAACCCATACTTTTATATGTTTCTCAGTCAGTCGTGTTAAGAATTTTTGATGCGTTTTTATGATAAGTATATATTTCCAATGAGTATTGATAAGTTATTCTGATTGTGTGATTACGATTTGATTTGTTTTTTTTGAAAACTAAATTTGGGGAAATGATTTTTTTGAAAACTTACCGTTACGACTTGGAGGCCGTGGGGGCGCAGGATAGTTGGGCGGTGTCAGCGGCGGCGGTGGAGGTGGGGGCGGCACCTGCTGCGACGAAGACGTTGAAGATCCGAGGATCCTCAGCGTTGAGGGACTCAGATTGTTGGGGGGCCAAGGTGGGCGCCGCGGAGGCAGCGCCGGGGGCGGGGAACAGTCCAAGGTATCCACACTTCCACACTTTTAATGCACCTACTACACTGAAGAAACGTCCTTCACACTACTCCAACACCCGCGTTAATTTCGATGCACCTTTTTCAATGTATTAAAAAAAAAAAAACCACAGAACGCACAAATTTTTAAGATATTCCTTTTTTTTTGAAAGAGTTGGCAGTAAACAGCCTCCTTCATTCACTGCTTATTTTATACGTGTGGCAGAAATAGCCTGCTCGCTCGATCTTCTTTTCGAGTGTACTGCCAAGCCTGGTTGGCTCCCTCTCTCTTGCACTCCCGCATTCGTGTCACGCGGCGTCGACGACTCACTGCACCAACAAGAAGAAGAAGAAGAAGAAGACACGACGTCGCAGAACAAGAAGAAAAGAAGACTAGAGGGCTCCGATCTGGTCCTCGTCGAGCATCGCCTCTCGACGAGGCTCGCGCTTGCACGCAGGCACGCACGCCAAAAACTCACAGAGTTAACCCTCCCTTCCCTCTTCGTTCAACACTCTCTTCTCTTCGGTTTTGTGAAGTAAAATCTTCTGCTCCCCACCTTGCTTCCTTCTTCTCCCTCTTGGCGAGCGGCACCCCACCAACAGGTGCGTAACTCGCTTCTCAGTCGCCCCCTCTAATTCTTCCGAAGCCACGATTTTCATCCAAAATATTTCCTCCACGTTTCACTATTCTACGCCAATGGGGGAAAAAAAAAATTTTTTTTCTCTTTCCAAAATCCACGCGCTTCTTTATATTCGATACAAAAATGAAATTCTTCAAAAGAATCTTTATGGCGTCTCCTTAACTAATTTGCCTTCTTTTTTCACCTTTAATTCTTTCCCTAAATTCATCATTTTCTTTACTTAATTCAATTCCTTCAGGAGCATTACTGTCACCATATTTTTTATCATTATTATGATCCATCATGACTTCATACACAAAATAGATAACTAATATACTAAATAAATTAGGTGTAAACAATCCTTTTTTTTTTGCAGCAATAAATTTTATTCCCTCCTTTTTGAAAATTTCAATTGAAAAAAAAAAAAAGAGAGGTAAGACCTCGAGACAAGTTCAGCTGGACTCGGCGGCCATGTCGCTGTGCTTCATCCAGGGCCGTATTTCCAATTGCGGCCCACTTCTTTCTTTCTCTCTCTCTCTCACTCACAATTCCTTTCTACAATTTATATCCAAAAAAAACAATCCCTATCTCCAAATCATCACACTAATTCACTATTCATTTTCAATCTCCCTCATATATATCACTTATAACTTCCTTTCACTTGAATTATCCTTTTTCTCACAAACACAAATATTGTAAATTAATCACAAAAATTGTAAATTCCTTTTTTAAGAACTGTTAAACATAGGCGTTGGGTGTTTTTTCTTTTTTTTTTTTTCTTTAAAAAAAATGGTAAGAAAAACGAATTTTTTTTTTTTTTTTTTGACGAGAGTCAATATAGTTCCAACCCGCGACCTGCCCTCTACGTTTCTGAGCGTTCGACCGCCGGCTACGCTCAACTCAACTCGTCGCTGTTAGTTCGTGGGTTTCTGTGGGTGGGGTACATCGCGCATGCGCATTTCTCGTCCGATGTTTACCATTCCCTTGCCCCGCGATACTTCAGCACCTAGGTTAGACGACGGCACGACCAAATCCCCACTCCACCCACACTTGGACGCCATTCCCTCAGGCCAGACGTGATACTTCATTCATGCTCGTATTGTGCGCGATCAGGGCCGAAACCTCTTAATTCGCGGGCCCCCCCTCCTCTCTCTCTCTCTCTCTCTCTCTACTTCCGTTCGGCCAAAAACGGATGTAAATTTTCTACTCATTTTTTTTTTTTATATCGAGTTCCGTGTACAATCAAAAATAAAAAAAAAGAAACTCAATAACACACGGAATATTCCATTCACATTCCAAGAATATTCAGAATATTCATTTGGAATATTTCATTCATATTCCAGGAATATTAAAATGTCCGACCTTCGGAATATTCCACTCGAATATTGAGGGAATGTTCCATTGGAATATTTGGAGAATTTTTGGTTGGAATGTTGAAGGAATATTCCATCAGAATATTGAAGGAATATTTAATTGAAACATTATAAAATCAGTAATAATTGTTTGATTTTTTATTATTAAAAAATATTAGTACAATGTTTCCATTAAATATTCCATCAATATTCTGATGGAATATTCCTCCAACATTCCAGGAATATTCCATTCATATTCCAGGAATATTAAAATGTCCGACTTTCGGAATATTCCACTCGAATATTAAGGGGGTTATTCCATCGGAATATTGATGGAATGTTCCATGGGAATATTTGGAGAATACTCGGTTGGAATGTTGAAGGAATATTCCATCAGAATATTGAAAGAATATTTAATTGAAACATTATAAAATCAGTAATAATTGTTTGATTTTTTATTATTAAAAAATATTAGTACAATGTTTCCATTAAATATTCCATCAATATTCTGATGGAATATTCCTCCAACATTCCAGGAATATTCCATTCATATTCCAGGAATATTAAAATGTCCGACTTTCGGAATATTCCACTCGAATATTAAGGGGGTTATTCCATCGGAATATTGATGGAATGTTCCATGGGAATATTTGGAGAATACTCGGTTGGAATGTTGAAGGAATATTCCATCAGAATATTGAAAGAATATTTAATTGAAACATTATAAAATCAGTAATAATTGTTTGATTTTTTATTATTAAAAAATATTAGTACAATGTTTTCATTAAATATTCCTTCACTATTCTGATGGAATATTCCTCCAACATTTCAGGAATATTTCATCCATATTCCAGGAATATTAAAATGTCCGACCTTTGGAATATTTCACTCGAATATTGAGGGAATATTCCATCGGAATATTGATGGAATGTTCCATTGGAATATTTGGAGAATATTCCGTTGGAATGTTGAAGGAATATTCCATTATTATTATTATTATTATTATTATTCCAACATTCCAACGGAATATTCTCCAAATATTCCAATGGAACATTCCATCAATATTCTGATGAAATTTTCCCTCAATATTCGAGTAGAATATTCCAAAGGTCAGATATTTTAATATTCCTGGAATATGGATAGAATATTCCAATGGAATGTGAATGGAATAAAGATCAAAGATACACGGAGAAAAATGGAAAAACGAATAATGGAACTTTTACTAAGTAAAACCTGAACTGTCCGCAGATTCTGCGCATTTCTGTCAATTTTTACTCCAGAAATAATAAAATTTACTCCTAAAATAGTAAAAATTATTTCGGAAATTGTAAATTTTACTATTTCTGGAGTAAAAATTTCCAGAAATGCCCAGAAACTGCGGACAATTCCGGTTTTACTTTTAAAGTATATAGTAAAAATTACTTTAATCGTTTTTTCATTCTTCTCCGTGTATACAAAGATTTATTTGCTTCAAACAAATTATCTTTGATTAAAAAAAACTTATATCTTCGTTTTAAAGAAATTTTTTTATTTAATTTAAATAAATGTTTCTTTGACCCTATATATATACATATATATATATATATATATATATATATATATATATATATATATATATATAAATCAATGTGAGAATTTCTTTAATTCAATGCATAAATTTCTTTCATTCAAAGAAAACTGAATCAAAAAAATTTTCTTCGAAACTAAAAAACTTTTTTAAAGAAGCAAATTTCTTTAATTTGTTTTCTTTCATTCAAAATGAAAATTTTCAAAGAAAATTTTTTTGCGTCAAAGAAATTTTCTTTGAATAAAAGAAATTTGTGCATTACATCAAAGAAATTCTAACATTGATATATAGGGTGAAAGAAATATTTATTTGAATTAAATAAAAAATTTCTTTTAAAAAAAAAAAATATTTTTTTTTAATCAAAGATAATTTGCCTGAAATAAAGTTTCTTTGAATCAAACAAAAATTTTGTCAAAGAAATTGATTTGTTTAAATCAAATGCTTTTTTTGTATGTGATAACTAATTCAATTACTAATCAATTTCTACCATATTTTCTTACATGTGAATATAAAAATTTTGCTACTTTTAAATATGAATTTTAATATTTAGTATAAATTTATTTTAAAATTGAAAACAAAATATATTTAAAGCAAACAGTTTTAATGACTATTGACAATAATTTATTGTTGTAAATAACATGTAGAATTTGAATGTTTTAAATTTTTAATAAATTGATTTGTTTAGCTTATAAGAACGTTAAAAATACAGACCTGAAACTCCGTTAAATCTAGACGAGTGAAATGGATCTTCTCTGTAAATCTAAAATCTAAAGTTAAGTCTCGATGGAATGGAATATGCACTCCAACTTTTCACAAGAAGTTCTGGTTCTGCTTGCACGCACTAATTCCTGCATACCAGCAATTTTTATATTAATATATATCTATCGTGTAAAAATCACGTTCTTTCATAATTTCTTACATTTCTTTTTATTCTTCAACTTATTTTTAAATAAAAAATTTTTTCCCAATTGATCGACAATTTTTTTCTCTTGATAAGAAATTATTTATTTTTTAAGTAACAGAAAGACTTTCTGGTTTTTAAATTTTATTATGCAATACACATTTATTTAGAATTGAAGTCCACCGTAAAATTCTAATATATATATATATATATATATATATATATGTATTTTGTCGATTAAAATGTCGAGCGTAGATGTTTAAATGTGCGATGCGGTCTAGATTTGCCTACGCTTACAAACTGTACAAAGTTATAACGGGCGTGTTTTTTTTTTTTTTTTTTTTTTAATCTCAAGTTGCATAAAATAGAAACCTAAACAAAAAAAAAATTAATACTAATGCAAATTCAGCCAATTAAATCAAGTTTAGAATGTATTTTGCAAAAAAGAGAAATAAAAAAATTTATATCCTCAAGTTTACCACACGGAAGTGTAATAAACTATTGGAGAAATAAAACAAAATTTAAAAGAACTAATTTCACTTTTTTTTTTGATGAAAAATTTAATAATTTTGTGTTTTTTGAAGCAATGGTGTGTCAAAATAATACAGATGATTCGAAAGGGACTTAAAAAGTAAACGAATTATAGGTTATGTTTACGTTAGTTTCATCTTGTTTAAATATATTTTTTTTGAAAATGATGTGAAATTAGTTTTTATTGAATATTTCCGATGTATAATGAAGTTATTGTAATATATATTATAATATATAATCAATGGTAGCTTCTCTTTGTGTATTTTTCACTTTAAACTTTCAAAATATAACCTATAATTTTTTTCTTCTTTAGTCGTCCTTTCTTCACAGCGTGTGGTTGTTAGATCACGTGATCGCCACAATAATTTGTCGACCACTTTTTTTTTTTTTTTTTTTTTTTAATAAAATACTTGGAGAAAAAGTTAATTTGACTTAAACAGTTTAGTTAACCTATTTTGACACAATAAAAAATAGTTAATTTAAATAAAAATCATATCAAATAAAATTTATTTTTAGTTAACCCAAAGAAAATTTTTATTTAAAAGTATTCGTTCTCCCTAAAGAATTAGTAAAAATTTTAACTAATTTGAATTAGTGACTTACTTTTTGCTTTGGAATTAGTTAAATTCTAATATCCAGAGAAAAGATTTCTTTGATTTAAAGAAACCAATTTCTTTGACTTGTTTTATTTCATTCAAAATAAAATTTTCTTTGAAACAAAAAAAGCTTCTAGTTTCAAAGAAGTGGATTAAATCAAAGAAATTGTATAACATTGATATTGAGTCAAAGAAACATTTATTTGAATTAAATAAAAAATTTCTTTGAAACGAAGATAAGTTTTTTTTGAATCAAATTTGTTTAAAACAAATAAATTTTCTTTTGTACCAAAGAAAAATTTGTCAAAAAAATTTATTTCTTTGAATCAAAGAATCTTTTTTCCATAGGCGTAGTAGGATGCATCAATCACAGGATCGATGCTTATCACCATCATTTATACAGTATTATTGTCAGTAACAAACTTTTATATATATATATATATATATATATATATATATATAAGTTAAACTAATAAGGCGGCATGTAGAACTATACTTAGCACGTGATACTCGATGTGTGGGAAGACGCTCAAGGTCTCCACCCGAGTATTGAATTACAGACTTGCTTTCGAAAGAGAAAAAAATTGATCTAGCCCAATATATATATATATATATTTTTTTTTTTTTTATTTGATCCATGAAACATCAGACGTGACGTCTATCAAAGTGGTCGCATCTATTCCTTGAATGAAAAGGAGGCGTTTGCTTCCTGATTCACGGAAGGATGACTTATAATCTTTCATTGGAATAAAACTTTTATATACATATAAAATGGTAACTTAATATGTATACGCATAAAAGTACATATTATATACTTTAATCGATGGACCACAATTATTTTCTGTTTGTTGCTTATAGGTTCCACTGTTAAATCCTAATTGAATGCAGTATGGATTTAAAACACAAAAAAAAATGGATATAAATTAAAATTCGTGTGTTTGGTGCGTCGTATTGGATTTAGTGGCTAAAAGCAAGTGTTTCATACTAGATAATGAATAATTGGGGAAAATATATGAGGGAACAGGGAAACATTGCAAAGTTGTATTTATAAATTATCTTTAATTAACACCCTTATCTGGCACCGTGGGTCCAGTAGACCGGAGCATTTTTTCAAGCTCAAAGGAAAAGCCTGGCTACACCGAGAGCCAACCAGGAGCATTAAATTTGATGCTCAGGCGTATTAAACGAGTAAATTATAATCGCGTTTGCGCAGAATATTTGTGTACATCTGTGACCGTGGTTACGATAGTAAGAGATTAGAAAAGTTCGCTGGCTTTGGCGACCACGTGGACGCCTTTTCTAACCTAACTTTTCTAACCTATCCCCATCGCAACCATGGTCGCAGATGTAAACAAACATTCTGCGCAGACGCGAATATAATCTACTAGTTTAATACGCCTGAGCATCAAATTTAATGCACCTGATTGGCTCTCGGTGTAGCCTGGCTCTAATTGAATGTGTAGTTTTTGAATATTTTTTATATTTTAATATATTAGTTTGACATATTAGTAATTTTTTAATTTTTTCGATACAATTAATTCGAGACAAAAGAATAAATTAGCTTCAAATATTAATAGTTATTTTTTAATTTTAATTTAAAAACTCATATTTTATTCTGCAAAATAAATACCTTTTTTTGCAAGTCCTGCTGTTGTAATTTTTTCCTTAAAAAAATAACAGTATAACCTTAAATTTTGACGTCACAATATTAAAATTTAAATAAGTCATGAATTTTTAAAATACGCAATTTTTCGTTTTTATTTTTCACAATTTTTTTTTTAACTAATTTAAAATAAATTAATCCCTGTAAAATTAATGACATTTTAAAAAACACATCATAAGCTACCTCAGATTAAATTTTTGTGCAAAAATATTCAATACCGGCTATACAATACACATTTAAATACCTCGGGTCCATCAGACCCGTTGTGCCATTTACGTTTCAACGCGGAATTGTGCCAGTTAAGGGTTAAATTTAGCGAGTATATTTTGTTCTTTATAGATGAAATGATTCAAAGATTTTCATTTTAGAAATTTTTCATTCACAAAGAATAATATACATACATACATAACTCTTTTTTGGCACTTGTAACAATTTCGTCACTTAAAGAGGTATCATTGAAAATGATTTATTCTAAAATTAAGAATACCTACCACGTATTTGTAGACTATTTCATAAACAGAGGAAAATACTTTCTGTTTAACTATAAAATTTTAGATGACTATAGAAGAGAAATTTTCCTCTCAAAATATGAAAATTTTTATTTTTGGTGTAGGGAGGAAATTTTTTTTTTTCTCGTTGATATATTAGTAGAAATTCCACAACTTGAGCGACTGAATAAAAAACAAGAATAATGAAATGTTTAATAATAATAATAATAATAATGACAATAATAATATTAATGAAAGTAGAGAAATTTGCAAAAAGTGCCTCGAGCCAAAATTGTTTGTATAGAAAAACGGGATTCTCATGTAATTGTTAAAAGAGTATAAATACGTGTATAGTCGCGCACGTTTACGTTGCGTTGGTATATCGAAGCACGCAATATTAAAACATTTGTTTATATATATATATGTGTGTGTATGTGTATATACGAGGACAACCTGCGGATATATGAATGACTCGAAACGACGTATATTCATTGAGTTTGGCGTGCCGTCTCGGCACTTGGCTCTTAGCAAGGACATGACATATTTCTCTTCGGAAAGTGAAGGACTCGAAGGACAGGATCGACCATCGATATTATATGGCCGGAAGCTGCTTGGATCACTGAACTGACTTTTCACCTATACATACACAAAACTCTCTCTCTTAAAAACTTCATTCACAAAATTCCAATGATTTCATTTATACATATTTATATGAAAAAATAATGATTCCATTTTCTATTAAAATTTTTAATATTAATTTTAGTGAAAAAATAATAATTTTTGACTGAAATTCAAATTATAATAATAATGATTAAATTATTATTATTATTATTATCCTGAATCAAATGTGTTTTGTATTTGACAGACAAAAATCCAAATTATAGTATAATCTCTAAATCTGAATTAGTAAAAAATGTTTACTAATTTAAATCAGTGACTCACTTTTTGCTTTCCAATTAGTTAAATTTTAATTATTAATAACTTTTACTAACAATTAGTAAAAATTTAACTAATTCTAAAGAAAAAAAGTGAATCACTAATTTAAATTAGTAAACATTTTTACTAATTCAGATTTAGAGAGTATAGATTTTTAAAAAACTTGAAAACGTAGAAAATGCGATATGAGAATTGTAGCGTGACAATGTTTTATCTCTTTCTCTCTCTCTCTCTCTCTTTCTTTCTACATTCCTGAACTTTTAAAATCAAATGACAAACGTTTGATAATCGATAAGAATGAAAACAAATTGATAATTTTACTGCGTAAATTTATCAAATATTTGTCGTCTTTTTTTTTTTTTGATAAAAACTTAAAAATTATTTCCGTCTGGAAAACTAGGCAAGACAAATTAAAAAAAAAAAAAAAATTGCATAAAATAACATACGTTACATATATCCGTTAAAAATATTAGTTTTAAGTGGCTATAAAAAGTTTTACGACTTTTTTTTTTTCTCAAAGTGTCGGCACCGGAAAAGCGGTGATTTTCATGAATGAAATTCACTATGTGGTCCTGTGGGATTTTTGTTATCCTCTTTATATGTGTGACACCCTCGTCGACTTTTTTTTCAAAAAAAAAAAAAAAAAGAATGAATGAGCGCATTAAAAGTTTTCCTCGAATAAATAATAAATACACGTGTTTGTTGGCCGATTTTTTTTTTTACGAGAAGAGAATATAAATATATATGAAAAACTTCCTGTTACGTGACAATTTTTTTTTCTTCGCGTGAGAAATAAATTTTTTTTTTTTTTTTTCTTAAATTGTCACCATTCTGCAAATATGAGGGAAAATTTGAAAATATTTCGTAAATGACGTAAGTCTTTTGGATAAAAGAAGAGGTCGCGGGGGAATTTGAGAAAGATTTCCGGCTTATCGAATATCGAGCGAGATTTGGATATTTATATATGAAAACTCTTTTGTGTCTTGTTTTTGAAACTTTATCTTCTTTATTTTTTTCTCCATTTTTTTGGAAAATTCAAATTTTTTTTAATTATGCTATACTAGCAATGTATCTTTTACAATTATTTTTTATAAAGTTGCTTACAAGTACAAAACACATAGTTCACACTTGCGTACCTCTATATGCTCATCAATATAATTTTAATATCATTTTATTTTATTTATTTTTTTTTTTTTTTTAATAATCATTGTCATTGCATCTGTTCATTATCAATATTCAGTTGCGTTTTTTTATATATATATACGGTAATTCAACATTTTTTTTTTTTCATTATCAAAAAGCAGCGCCAAACGGAAAATTTGTAAAAATAGTTTTTAGTTTAAAAAATCGAGTCGAGATTCCCTCCTTGTTTATTTTATGTAAAATGACATTATCGATTTTAACGAGAAGGAAAATGTCCTTTTTTTTTAAAAAAAAAAAAAAGAAAAAAAACTCTCGCATTTTTGTTTTTTATATTATCAGTATTCACGAGAGTTCTAGGCGCCTTAATATAATTTCTGTGCAAAAAATCCTAATATCAAATATCATCGTTGATTGAAGTACATAAGAATTGCAAACAAATAAATAATGTTGCAATATTAAAATTGTGAAATAATTCGTCGTTCCATCCCTTTTATTTAATTATATATATATATATTTTTTTTTTAATATGTTACACCTATCTAATCTAACCTATCTACCTAGTACTCTCGCTGTTCTCTGGAAAAAGAAAAATAAAAAAAAAAGCCAACTTGCAATTATTTTTTACAAAAAAAATTTCTTTTTTTTTTTAAATTAATTTTCACAGCAAGTGACTTTTTCTATGTTACAAATAATATTTTATATATTGCTTCGATGCAGCTTTGCGCGCAAATATTTTTTATTAAAATTCAAAAAAAAAAAAAAATATGGGAAGATTTTCCAGAGAATCTATTTTTTAAGAAAATTCGAAATTCTTCCACAGTAAAATATTTTGCATTAAAATATAAATTCAAGTTTTTGTGATGATTATTTTTTTTTTTGTGAAAAAAAAATAATAATATTGGTGTATTAAGTCAAAAAGCCGAATAGAGAAAAATTAAAAGGCATAAAAGATTAATATGGAAGGATATATATATCAGCCATAATTGGCGTATTTCATTTTATGTGGACAAATTATGATGGGAAAAAGCACCGATGGTGACACTCGATTCAGATTCTTTTTTTTCTTTGCTTTTTTTTAGTTCAGCATTTAAAAATTCTATTGATTCAAGTCTTCTTAGAGAATCTGGAAGAGTTTCTTAAGTTCTACCATCAATTGCCAGTCAGTCTTGACGAGATCTTCTCTAAAGTAATCTTTACAGGCATCTATACTTTGTCTGCTTATCTGAAACATGAAAGAAAAGAAAAAAATTTTAAAAATCTTAATTTTTCGATTTATGATTTTATTCAAATGAGAAAAATTGCTTATAAATTATAAATGTAATTAACTTGGCTAATTTCATTAAATTCTGAAATTATTTCTAATATTACAAATCGCACGTTTTATGAAATATTATGTAATTAATTTTATTATCCTAAGTGCACTTCCTTCTGACAATTGAATCATGTCACGCGTGTTTTTTTCTAGTATCGATTTTTACATCATAATATACCAACACGCATTTATGTCTTCATATATATATGTTTGCTTTGAAAGTACTCTTCCGTAATACTTATTTGAAGAGTTTCCTTCGAATTCATTCATGTTCTTATTCTTTTATATCTTCATTCCATTTTTACTAAAATGTTTTCTTTAATTTTAAAGAATTTTATTTTTCAATATTATTTTCCGAATTTAATTAGGCTGATTTTACATTTAAAATTTTATATTTCAAATTTTATTTTCTAAATTTCAGTTTTTAAATTATATATTTTCCAAATTTTAGATTTCAAATATTTTACACCCAGAAAAATGTCATATTTCTCACAGAGCTTAATAAATATTTATTTGATTTAAAAACAAAAAATTTATTTACGCCAAATAAATGGGTTAGTTGGCTGTGAGACAAATATACGTTTATTTAATTCAAATATATTATATTTGGTTCAAATAAAAAACATTTCTCTGGATGTAGATTTCAAATTTTATTTTCCAAATTTTTGTTTTCAAATTTTAGTTTTCAAATTTTATTTTCCAAATTTTTGTTTTCAAATTTTAGTTTTCAAATTTTATATTTCAAATTATATTTTCCAAATCTTAGTTTTCAAATTTCAAATTATATTTTCCAAATTTTATATTTAAAATTTATTATTTTCCAAATCTTAGTTTTTAAATTTCAAATTATATTTTCCGAATTTTATATTTAAAATTTATTATTTTCCAAATCTTAGTTTTCAAATTTCAAATCATATTTTCCAAATTTTATATTGTTGTATTTAATAATTTGAAAAAAATTGAAAGTTGATCTAAAATTTCTCTGCCCGATTCTTTCTCTATTTCAATATTTAGCAAATTTTTCATAAAAATTCCAAAAAAAAACTACTTAAAAAAAATTTATTCTAGCTTTTTTAGAATTTTTTTTTTCTTCTAAATATGTGAATTTTTAATGTCCCTCATCTATTTTATTATACTATACTGATTTATATATGTGAATCACATTTATGAAGAACAAATATAAATATAGGAGAAGCGTGTCCTCGATTCTTGCGTATATATAAATATCAACCAATTAACATTTCCTGGAATACATTATTAACGGAAATTAGCGAACGCCTTTTGTGAACGATAAAGTCATTAAAACGAGAAATTATTTAATTGAGAATCGCAAATGAAACAGTTGACTTTTAACGGATCGATAATATCACAAAAGATAAAACCTTATATAGAACTGTTTTTTCACATAATATGGGCGATTCTCCAAAAAAAAGGCATTTTGCTTTTTATTTTTTATAATTATTTATAATTTATAATATTATTTTTAATTATAATTATAATTTAAAAAAAAAAAAAAAAATTCTCCTATAACACGGAATATTCCATTCACATTCCGGGAATGTACCATTGCAATGTTCCATCCATAATCCAGGAATATTAAAATGTCTAACCTTCGGAATATTTCATCCACAATTCAGGAATATTAAAATGTCCGACCTTTGGAATATTCCACTGGAATATTGAGGGAATATTGGATATTCCACTGGAATATTGAGGGAATATTGAGGGAATATTGAGGGAATATTAAATATTCCATTGGAATATTGATAGAATGTTTCATTGAAATATTAAAGGAATATTCCGTTGGAATATGAGAGGAATATTTCAACAGAATATTGAGGGAATATTTAATTGAAACATAGTACGAATATTTTTTTCGAAAGACGCATTTGAAATTTATCAAAAGTAAATTAATTATTTGACAATTTTAATTTAAAAATAATTTTTGTACTGTTTCAAAATTTATTTTTCAGAATTAATTTATATAAATACATAACTGAACGTATTTTATTTCAATGAAGACAAAATCCAACATTCCAAAATTCCAACAGAATATTATCCAAATATTCCAAGGGAACATTCCATCAATATTCCCTCAATATTCGAGTGAAATATTACAAAGGTCAGACATTTTAAAATTCCTGGAATATGGATGGAATATTCCAAATATTCCAATAGAATGTTCCCGGAATGTGAATGGAATATTCCGTGTTATTGGGGTAATTTGATCTTTCATTATTAAAAAATATTCGTATAATATTTCTATTAAATATTCCTTCAATATTCTGATGGAATATTCCTCCAACGTTCCAACGGAATATTCCTCCAAAATTCCAACGGAATACTTCCCAAATATTCCAATGGAAAATTCCATCAATATTCCCTCAATATTCGAGTGAAATATTCCAAAGATCGGACATTTTAAAATTCCTGGGATATGGATGGAATATTCCAAATATTCCAATAGAATATTCCCGGAATGTGAATGGAATATTCCATGTTATTGGGGATAGTTTGATTTTTCATTCTTAAAAAATATTCGTATAATGTTTCTATTAAATATTTCTTCAATATTCTGATGGAATATTCCTCCAAAATTCCAACGGAATATTTCCCAAATATTCCAATGGAAAGTTCCATCAATATTCCCTCAATATTCCAGTGAAATATTCCAAAGGTCAGACATTTTAAAATTCCTGGAATATGGATGGAATATTCCAATAGAATATTCCCGGAATGTGAATGGAGTATTCCGTGTCATTGGGGACCAACTTGGAAAGATTCCCCGGAAAGTGCCCCCTGGAGGTTCTATCAGAATTCCGCCGGAACTTCCAACGTAATTTCGTCGGAATTCCATCGGAGTTCCAATGAATTTCCGATGTGATTCCGACGGAATTCCGATTAATTTTTTTTTTGAAAATGTTTAGAGTCGTAATTCCGTCAGAATTCCGTCGGAATCCCATCGGAAATTCTTTGGAACTCCGATGGAATTCCGACGGAATTACGTTCGAAGTTTCGGCGGAATTCTGATAGAACCTCCAAGGGGCACTTTTCGTGGAATCTTTCCAAGTGGGGAATTATAGTTATAATTGTTTTTACAAAAAAATTCCCATATATAGGTATATATAGGTATATTATAATAAAATTGATATAAATTAAATATCTAATTGGAAAATAGTGAAAAGAAAAAATTTAAATAAAAAAAAAAGAAGATATATTAGAATAGTGTTTGCATATATACAAAATAAATCCTCTTGTCCAATAAATGTTTTTTTTTTTTTTTTTTTTTTTTTTCTTCATAAATTATGATTTGTCCCATATAATAATTCGCCAAGTTTGTAGGAGTTGTGAATATAACGTGGGCAGTTTAGAGTGAAGTCTGGGTGGAAAACGTGTCATCCAGAAAACCACCTATCGATCCGTGAATGGACATATGTTGATTTTATGTATATATGTATATACATACACCGCCAACGTTTATATATATGACCAATAAGCTTTCTCGAAAAATTCAAGAAGGAAGTGGAAAGCGGAGGTAAAAGATAAACTGATCAATGCAACTTCCTGTTTGTTAGACACATATGAGACGCACTTAAAAACATATATTATTCCTTTCCAATACATTTATCATCTCCCAATAATCGATAAATTAGATATTTTAATCGTTTTCCCATTTTGGGCATTGAAAAAAAAAAATTTCTAAATATATTCTTTTTTAGAAAAATTATACATTTAATAATTTATTTATTTTGAAAATTTGTCATTTTTAATAAAAAAAAAAGAAAAATTAATTTTTTTGCAAAAGAATTTTAAAAATTAATTTTAACTTTTCTGAATAACAATGAAATTTTTCATTTTGCACCTACATAAATATATATATATATATACTATATACAGAATAGAGTAGGAGGAGGTTCTTTAGAAATGCAACGAGCTCGACTTCCGTCGTCAATAGGGTGCTTGTTTTTCAATGAAGAGAAACGAGAAAAATTGCTGCTACGGAAATTCACCCTCAGCAATATTATTCCACTCTGGCTTTCGTTGAAAACGAAATATTCAACGTCGTACCTGAGCTATATATGTATATTGCTATACGAGGAAAAAGGGGCTGGAGAGTGAAAGTCGCCAGGGTTGAATGGGAGTCGAGGGGTTTCAAATTCTGAATGAACTCTGTATACGACTGCTATAGCCAACATTTCACAAAAAAAAGAAATTGTCACGAGAAAAATATTCTTCCATTTACACGGAATTGATATTTATGTGTATAATAATAATAATAATAATAATAATAATAATAATAATAATAATAATAATAATAATTAAACATAAAATAATAATAATAAATTTTCATATATACATATTTATTATTGTTATTTTATTTATTGAGTATTGAATTTTTTTTACAAATCAGGAAATATATTTTATTTCATTTAAATAAAAAATTTATTTAGGCCAAAGAAAAATTTATTTATGACAAATAAAATTTTTATTTTCACCAAAGAAATATAAGTTAGTAGACTTTGAAAGACAAATATACTCTCTAAATCTGAATTAGTGAAAAGTGTGCTACTAATTCACATTAGTAAGAATTTTTACTAATTTTTAGTAAAATATTACTATTTGATTTAGTAGTTTTTAATTTTTTTTTTACTAAAGTTTTAGTAAAAAGTGACTAAAAAATTAGTAATTGAATTACTAATTGAAATTAGTAGCTCACTTTTCAATTATTCAGATTTACTCTCTAAATCTGAATTAGTAAAAATGTTTACTAATTTGAATTAGTGACTCACTTTTTGCTTCTGAATTAGTAAAATTTTACTAATTGTTAGTAAAAGTTACTAATAATTAGTACAATTTTATTTTATTAGTAACTTTTACTAACAATTAGTAAAATTTTACTAATTCAGAAG